GTGCGGGCTGCGGGCTGCGCGCCGGCCACGTAACCGCGCAGACGCGGGGCGCACACTGGGTCCCGATTCCGAGGCGCCGGGGCCGTGCACGCTCGGGGGGCGCGGGCCCTTCGCGTGTGCAGAGGCGCGGGCGTCGCGACTTCGCTCGTGCTCGAGTCTTGTGTTTTTCTTTCCTTTTTCTTTTCTTTTCTTTTCTTTTTTGGTCGTGGCATTTGTGGTCTTTGGAACGGGACCGCTGAGAGCCGGGGAGAGAAGCGAAGCCCAGTCATTGTTCCGGGCGGGCTGGGAGGAGGGGCGTGGGCCATTGATCGCGGGAGAAGCGCGCGCAAAGCGAGGCTCGCAGCCGGCCGGGGAGCGAGGCGGGCTTTGTGTTCTCCCGCCGGGCCGGGGGCTCGCTCCTTCCGCACCAGCCTTTCTGTTTTTGAAGGGAATGCGCGTCTAGCCTCCTAGAAAGCCAAGCATCCCACAGGTACATGGTTTTGAAAAAAAACTATGAAATAGTCTGGCAAGGGCTGCCTTCCGTTCTGCAAATGTGATGTGGGTTCCTGGCCCGGAGAATTACGGAGAAGTATTTCAATACCCTAGTAATATATTTCAGTGCTAGTTTTATGAATTGAAAAGAACAATCAAAACGCGAGGGAGAAAAAAATTAAGATAAGAATAACCTGAGAATTGCATAACAACTCGAGAATTACAAAAACAAAAAAACAAAAAATTGATTCTTTGGCTTTGTTCCAGAGCACATTCTCTTAGTTTTGACATGTCTTCTCAGAGGTGGAGTATTTATTTGATTTTCCGTGTACTTCACTTTGTTACATCATCTCCAACTATAAATTGAACATTAAAACTACGCATCCATCAGACAACTTTTTGAGCACCTGCGGCGTGCCAGCTACTGCTAGCTAAAGTATAAAGAATACAAAGCTACTTAGAAATGTAAAACTGAAATTTGAGGTAATTTTCTTGTTCCAAAACAGAGTGGCTCAGAAAAAGATACTAAAATGTTGATATCTGATGTATATTTTTCATCCATCAGATTGGCATGAGTGTGTACTTGAGGCCCCTAAATTAACTTCTGTGCAAAAAGTATATATAACATTGTAACTTAAAAAAAAAAATTGTAACTTTTTGTTAAAATGTTGTATAAACAGCGTGGTGGCAGAGGCCTGTAATCCCAGCACTTGGGAGGTTGAGGCAAGATTGCTGTGAGTTAGAGGCCAACCTGGACTACATAAGTGAGTACAAGGCCAGCCTGCATTACATAGTAAGACCTGTCTCAAAAAACAAAGCCCCCCAAAAAATGTTGTATAGAGCCAGGCATAGTGGCCCACCCCTGTAATCTCAGCATTTGGGAGGCTAAGGCAGGAGGAGTTCGAGGCTAACCTGGGCTACAGAGGGAGTTCAAGGCCAGCTGAATTAGGTAGCGATACCCTGTGCCAAAAAAATGTATAGAAAACTCTGGAAGAATATATGGCAAATAGCAGATCCTTCTTGTAAAGATTATAGAAAGCTATCACTTTGAATATTATCAAATATGTTAATGTTTGGATTTTTCACTATAAGCATTATTTGTATAGGCAAATAAACATTGAATATATTAACTTATAAAGAAACCTGAAATAACATTGTCTTAATCAAATACATGCAAATTAAACTTCAGAGAGCCATTTTTCTTATGGTTATTGTTGAAAGGGTACAGTGAAATGTTTTCTTGTTCATTATTGGTAAGAATATTCAGTCATTCTGGAGAGAAGTTTGATGATATTATTCAATTTTAATGTTCAGTTATGGGCCTGGCTTACATATGTTTTATTGATTGATTGATTGATTGATTGATTAGTCTTTTTCAAACGGACTCACAATGCTGTTCAGGCTGGCCTTTTTTTTTTTTTTTTTTTAAGAGTAAAAGAAGGGGCTGGGGATTTAGCTCAGCGGCAAAGCGCCTGCCTGGCAAGCGCAAGGTCGTGAGTTCGGTTCCCGGTACCGGAGAAAAACCAAAAAAAAAAAAAAAAGAGTAAAAGAAGGATAACATAATAATAGGGGGGGCTTACCAAGTTACAGACAAAGTGGTAGGAGATTATCAATGGTTATTTTATATATTGTTATCTACAAGATAGTTTCTCAGGAAAACAGACAAATAATATTGAGTTACAAAAAAGATACAAGATTATCAATAGTTGTACTATACTTAGGTATCTTCAAAGTGGCTTCTAAAGAATATAAATAGAACTATGCATGAGTGACCTATTGAATAATCATTCAATAATTCTCAATAGTTGTTGTAGGCAACACATAATAATAAACATGGATCCATTTATGAAATAGGATAGGAACAATACAAACATTACAGAGTTATGGATAGATTTCTAGGAAAATAACAATAACTGCTGTAATACCTGGTGGTATCTTCAAAGTGGTTTCTCAGGAAGACAGAGATACACAAGAAGGATCTAACAAGTAGTTACAGCCTAAGGGTTGTCAAAAATCAAGTGAGCCGTCTGGGGCGAAAGCCATTTTTTGTAGCGTTTTCTCTCCAGCCTCCCATCGCATTGGGACCCCACAATCAGTTAGTGTCCTCTCCCCAACTGTCAGTACAGGCAGAAGGAATCCTGCTGTAGACTTCTCTGGAGCTCTACCACAGCCTGTTCAGGCTGGCTTTGAGCTCACTTTGTAGCCCAGGCTGGTCTCAAACTTGCAACGATCCTCCTGCCCCAGCCTCCAAAGTGCTGGGATTACAGGCGTGCGCCACTATGCCCAGCTGTACATATGTTTTAAAAGCTCAAAATTTAATATGTGTATATAATTATATAAAAAATCATGTACTGGGGGAGAGAGCAAAATATGAAAGCCTTTGAAACTATCTCAGAAGGCTTTTCTCATCCACCCAGTTAGTTTTTCATAATAGCTACTGTCACCTTTACCACAATCACTAAAAATTATTTGGGCAGTTTATTTGATGGCTGCTTAAGGTCTGGAAGGGCAGCAACCATGTCTGCTGTATCTTGTATACTGTTCTCTCATTGGTGATTAGTTTACAAAGATGTTTATTAAGCATTTGACAAAAAAGTAAAAGTATTGAGATGAGATTAGGATCCTCCTCGTCCCAACATTTCCCAAATTCTGGGAATATTTTATTTGAAAATGTAAGAAATGAGCCCAAAGAGAACTCACAAACAAAGACAGCACTGAATCAATTCTTTTATAAAATTGGCTGTGGCTCCTTAAAAACAGAAATACATTTGGTTGCCCTATAGAAAAGACTTTTGTCTCTTCTTGACTTTCTTTCAATAGCAAAGTGAATGCAGGAGCCATGCCCAAGGCCCCTGCCTGACTATTCAGAAGTTCTTATTGTTCTGATTTTGTTTCTTTTAGTGAATACCAGGGCCTGGTAAAGCACACCGGAGGCTGCCACTGTGGAGCCGTTCGTTTTGAAGTTTGGGCCTCAGCAGATTTACACATCTTTGACTGCAAGTGAGTATTTTCTCCTCCAAAATCATCTTAAAGAATTGAAGAAGTAAAACTCAGTGCTTCAAAATAACCTGGGGAGTTGGGGTATGGGTGAAACAACATGGTGGGTTGATAATTGTTGAAGTCAAGTGATGGATACATAAGGGTTCGTTGTTCTTTCTTATTGTATATGACTTGAAATTTATAATAATATTTTTAAAGGGTGAGGAGAAGCTAAAAATAATAGCGTGTGTGCACACACACGTGTGTGTGTGTGTGTGTGTATTTATGCATGCATGAATGTGCTCTGGTGCTCATATCAGTGTGCACGTGTTCCACAGAGCTATGGCACAGCTGCTGGTGACAGAGCAGGCTCCTCAGGGCTTCTGACTGTCACAGTCACCACTTAGACTGAACCCAGTGCTGCTTTGTAGTTAGCTCAGGATGGGAGTCGGACTGGACACTGAGTAGGAAGCCTTGGGCAGGACCTTTGTCGGAGTCCATATGGGAAAGAGATGGAGACAGGTTAGTGGAGGGTGTGTCCACCTGGAGGTGCCCTGGGCACTGGCCTTCTTTCTTTGTTCTTGGCATGAGCAGGTGGTACTGCCAGGATCTGTGGAAGACCTGCTTATCAGTACCTTCCCTGGCGTTGTCAAAGGGTGAGAACAACAGGCTCTGAGTTCTGGACCAGTGGTTGGCATGTACCTAATTATTCAACAGTGTCTAGACCTTTTTGTCTGTTAAGTGGTACCTGAATTGTATATGAATAATAAATAAATACTGTGGAATTACACAAATGGAGAGTTGACCAGGCTAATAACAGTAGAGTCCAGATCTGGAAAGAAGCACTGTAGTATAATTTGTTAAAGGATTCTATACTAAGTCAGATTTTTTTAAAAGATGGGTTGAAAGCCTTGGCCTGTAACGCAGTAGTAGAGGATATGGTTAGTATTGGGAGGCCCTGGTACTTGAATACACACAAAAATGTGGGTTGAAAAGAGCAGATTATAACTTAATTTCTATTGTGGTATTTCTGGGGATCCATTTTATCTGGAGCTGATTATCTCTGATGTGGAGATTGGGAGAGAAGAAACATAAGCTTCCTTAGCCATTTTTGGTGTGAATGTCTGCAGCATAGATTGCAACAGTGTCTGAAATTTGTTTCTTAAGTATCTGAAGTCCCTTGTTTGCTTTCACTGTAACAAACGAGGGGGTGGGCAGTGAAACAAGGTCCTGTTGGTCCTGGATTTTTTGAGAAGGGATGTGGCCTCAATTTCTGCCTCTGGGACCTGAATCTCCTTCCCACGAGAGCAGAGGCCCCAGGGGACCAGTTCTTCTCCCTCCGTACCTCGTTTCTTGAAAGGTGCTGAAAGCGGTGCTCCCTTTGAGGTCAGGTGGGTCCCCAAACATAACAGGATGGTCCCCTGAACGCCCATAGGGTGCAGATGGCTGTTCACAGTCTGGAATTTGCTCTGTCTTTCTGTAGCTGCAGCATTTGCAAGAAGAAGCAGAATAAACACTTCATTGTTCCAGCTTCTCGCTTCAAGCTCCTGAAGGTTAGTGCGTAAGTGCAGGATCGGGACTGCATGTGTGAGGAGTTCCCGGCTGCCCTCTGCAGGGTGTGGGCACAGAGAGTATGGTTGGTTTCCCTTTTAACCTTGGTTTCTTGTTTACTTTTAAAAGATTGTTATTTTTTCCTCTTTATTTCTGAAGGCATATTTGATCTTATGGAGATATTTTCAAATTCAGAGAATCAAAAAATAAATTAATAAAATTAACCAAGATAACTACTGTTAATATTTTGGTGTATGTCCTTGTGTGTGTTATTTTCTATGTAAATATATATAGAGAGAAAGAGATAGTGTCATGTTTTTATCAAAGTAGTTTAACTGTTCTTTCTGAATGTAGCCTACTTTTGTCATTTCCCAGTGAAATATCACGTAATTTTCTTTTTCTTTTCTTATTTTCCTCTAATTCTCATTCTTTTTTTTTCTTTGTAGTACTTGGGATTAAACCTTAGACTTCATATAAACTATATTCTCAGCTCCTTTTAAATTTTTAGGCAAGGGCTCACGGAGTTGCCCAAGCTATTTGTTTTCTTCGTTTCTTTGTTTGTTTCGGTACTGGGAATCCAACCCATGAACTCACACTTGTCAAGCAGGCGCTGTGTGTCGCTGAGCTAAATCCCTGGCAGCTATTTGAGTTTATAAACCTGCTTCAGCCTCTCAAAGTGCTGGGATTGTGGGTGTGCCACCATGCCCAGTTTACAATTTTTTTAAACTTTAATTGTATTGTTTTGTGGAATTTTTTGTATTTGTTACAGAATTTGAAAGATGTAAGAAAATATATGAATACTTAGTGAAAAGTCCTCCATCTGCTGTTCCTCCAGCCCCAGCCTCCTGCTACCCTTGGCCATCTCCCTGGTCGACATCTTACCACCTCTGTATTTATAGCAGTGAACTTGGAGCCTGAGTCTAGTTTTTTCTCAACTATAAACATTGCCGTGATGGGGCTGGGGATTTAGCTCAGCGGCAAAGCACCTGCCTGGCAAGCGCAAGGTCATGAGTTCGGTTCCTGGTACTGGAGAAAAACCAAAACCAAAAAAAAAAAAAATTGCTGTGATGAATTTCCCTATGTATAAATTGTTGACATGTTAGAAATTTTTTTTTGAGATCAATTCTCTTAAAAATAAAATCTCGGGCTGGAGATATAGCTCAGTGGCACAAGCATCTGCCTGGCAAGTGTAAGGTCCTAAATTTAATTCCTGTACCAGAAGAAATAAATAAATAAAATAAAATCTCTAGTTCAGAAAATACAAACTTTTTAAAAAGGCTTTTAGCACATTCTAGATAGTGTGAAGTAAGGCATGGCTTTAATTCTGTCCTTCCTTGCTGCTTCCCTGATCGCAAGTTTCATGGATCTCTGCCTGGGCTAGGAGTTTTAGTGTAATTATCTGTGTCTTACGCCACCACGCCTGCTAAGGATTTGTAAATACCTAAGCAGGTATCTTTGGATGAGAGGTAAACACCTGTGAAAACAGGTGAACTTGAGACTTGCTGCCGAATGACCAGAGGACAAAGTGCACGAATAACATGTGTACTTGATAACAAACAGACATGACTGTGTCTAATATAAACCTTCATAACTCAACATGTCATATGAAGCTGGTTGTGGTGGCGCACGCCTGTAATCCCAGCGCTCGGAGGCTGAGGTAGGAAGATTGCTGAGAGTTCGAAGTGAGTTCAGAGCTTGCCTGAATTATAGAGCAGACCCTCTCTTGAACCGCACCACCCCCAAAACGTCGTGTGTTATGATGTACTGTGAGCAGGCTCCATGAACAGGACATGCTCGTGTAAGGAGAGCTCTGTTGCTGGACATGAGGGATTGGGCCCAATGGTTCTACAGGAAATGGAGTTGCAAGAAATTTAGTTTTTGTTGGTACTGGGAATCAAACTCAGGACCTTGCACTTGGCAAGTTGCAAGAAATTTGGACTGGAATTCCAGGTTTGGAGAGTTATGATGGTGTTCCAGAAGATGACGTGACTACATGTATTTGAATAAATGTGGATTTTTATGCATAAATAAATGAATACATGTAGATTGTTGTAAGAGAACCTCTGAAAATAAGCTCTATTGCATCTTTTGGAGCAAAAATTAATATAAGACCCCGTTTTCTGGGAAATACAGTACTCTTCCAGACCACACCCCTGTGAGTACCTTTTCTTACCAGGCCACACTTTTTTTTTTTTTTTTTTGTCTTTTTGAGACAGGGTCTCACTATGCAGTTCAGGCTGGCCTTGAGCTGACTTTCTAGCCCAGGCTGGCCTTGAATTCGCTCGATCCTCCTGCCTCAGCCTCCCAAGTGCTGGGATTACAGGCATGTGACCCCATGCCCGGCCCAAGCTCCACTTTCTAACAACACGTTTAGCTGTTAGCTCCTTAGTGGACCAGTCACCGATGAGTTAATGATTATCCACCTCTGTGGTCCACTCACCTTCCAGAAGCTCCTGGTGTGAGGCTGTGAGGGGACATCTGGGTATAAACTAACCATGTTTCTGAGGCAAGTGCTCGTTGTTTTGACAGCTGACGTAGTAGGGTCCTGCACTGAGTAACTGGGCTCAGTGAGCTCCGGGGAGGAATGTCTGACCAAGCAGATGACTATAGGAGTCCTGGTCTTTTCTGAGTGAGATTTAGTCCCAGATGTGCCAGGCTAACTTACTTCTTTTCCTGTTCTCTCTTCTTTTCTCTCCCTCTTTTTTCTCTTCCTGAAATCACTGTTGGGCGAAGGCCTGGGCCTGTGGGTGGGACCCGGTGTTCAGGGGTTTTCACCCCGGGCTCTGCTCGTCCACACACGGTCCTGGTGCTCTAGGACATTGTTTTCTTGTTTGGTCCCACCCAATTGGAGGAGCGATTTTCTCTTTCTTTGTTTCAAATACAAAACATATTCAAGTATTTACAGGGCACCTGCTGTATGCCAGGCAGTGTTCCACCAAGCATAGCAGTTAACATAACAGACAAGGCCCCTGTCCTCCCTGAGTTTACGTTCTGTGGATAGGGAGACACGAGAAGTCTGAGTGTGCAAGTGCTGTGTGGAGAGAAGGCTGAGTAGACAAGGCCACGACAGCGCAGCTGGGTGGTTACTGCAGATGGGTTAGGTATGGCCTCTGTGGTGGTCAGGGCAGAATGACAGTTGGGGGGTGGGCAGCTTGTGACAGAGGGGGTGGGTTATACCAAGGGCTTGTGGAGCATGAGCACGGCATGTTCAGGAGCTAAATGGGGGCCACTGTGTCTGGTGGCACAGGAGTGAGGAAAGTACCCGGAGTCAGGGTGGAGGGATGCTCAGGACCTGATCACAAGCAGTTTTGTGCTTTGTAGTGTGAAGCTGCTAGAGGATAGTAAGTGACGCAGTGATAAGATCGATTCAGGGTTTCCAAGCGCTGTTGGGCTGCAGTGGGAGAGGGGGTTGTAAAGAGCTGACTGTGGAGGCGGGGAAGTGAGAGGTCGTTGGGTGGGACAGATGAGAGATCTGCAGAGCAGTCATGGAATTGGAGGGAAAGTAGATACCTGGAGATGCGTCCTAGAGCCGTGGTTCTCAGTCCTCAGTGTACGCACAGGCACCTGCAGGGGGCACTAACCTGATTGTGGGCCCATTCCTGATTCCATAGGTCTGGGGTGTAATGGTTGACACGTTTTGTCAACTTGGAGTCTAGAAGCTTAACTAAGTGACTCAGCAGTTTTGCATCCTGGGGTAAAGGACATGCCCTTACCCTCTAGGATGTTGTTCATTGTGTCAACCTGAGAAGTTCAGAAGTGTAACTAAGCCACTCAGCAGGGAGCCAGGGCCTTATTTGTAAACATGCTGAGCCTGTGCAAGAGGAGGGCACTGAGATGGTGTGGATGGACACCAGCATACAATATAAGGGAGGAAAAGAAGCTTGCTTCCCCTCTTTTTGCTCTTGCTGCTTTTGCTGTCTTCTGCCGCCTTGAACTGTTGCCCCTGTGCCATGCCACCCTGCCTTAGAGCCAGCTGACTTCAGACTGAAACCTTCACAAACTGTGAGCTAAATAAACCTTTCCTTCCTTAATTTTTGAGTGTCGGGTATTCTATCTCAGCAATGAGAGAAAAGTAACTGAGACAGAGGGTCTGAGGATAGGCTCAGGAATGCACAGATTTTGCAAGTTCCCAGGTAATACTAGTGACGCTGGTCTAGGGTCCACACTTGAAGATCCACTATTTTAGCGGTAAACAGAACTATGAAAGGATTGGATGTAAAGTCAAGGAGGGAAGAGGAGTAGGAGTTATATCCAAAATCTTGGCCCTGAGCACCTAGTCAAAATAGAGACATCAGGTCCTGCAGGTGTAGATGGCTGGGCTACTGGAATCAGGAGTTCTGCTTTGAAACAGGAGTTTTGTCTTCTGAGTATTCATACAGATACTGGGAGTGGGCAGCTGGACATACAAACCTGGAGTACTGAGAGGGCAGAGTGGGAGCTGCCAACCTGAGAGTTGTTGGGATATTGATGTTGCTTAGGGGTAGGGAGTGTGTGAAGTCAACTGGGGAGATATAGCCAGATCCGGGAGAGGGCTGATGACAGCCCTGGCTCCTGCTAGCGTTTATAGAGCTATGGGAAGAAGAAGAGGAACAAGAACAGGGGCCTGAGAAGGACGGCCAGTGGAGAAGGAGAGAAAGCAAGAATGTGGTGTTCTCCGGAGTGGAAGTACTGCTCCTGAGAGTCCCAAGGTCAGGAGACTGCAGTGGTTAAGAGAAGTAGCCATTGGATTTGTCAGTGTGTGGTCACTGGGCGAGAAGTCAGAGGGAATAACTAAAGGGGTTGATCGTAGCAGATTCTGATGATAGGTTATGGAGAGCAGGGGACGTGGGGTCAGTGTGGTGGATTCATGAAACATGGCAATGAGGGTCTGGATGTCACCGGGTGGTTTTATTAAGGAACGGGGTAAGGTAAGGTTTGAGATATCTGCTGATTGTTCCTGCTGGACGATTTGCTTTTGCTGCTTTCTGGTATCATAGGTATGGAGTGAGGAATAACTCCTCCAGGCACTATGTTTATAGGAAAACTCATGGGCATCTTGGTGCATGCCTGTAGTCCCAGCTACTGAGGAGGCTGAGGAAGAAGGATTGCCTGAGCCTAGGAATTTGAGGCCAGCCTGGACAACATGGTGAGACTACGTCACTTAAAAAACAAAACAAGGGGCTGGGGATTTAGCTCAGCAGCAAAAGCGCCTGCCTGGCAAGTGCAAGGTCATGAGTTCGGTTCCCGGTACTGGAGAAAAACCAAAAAAAAAAAAACCAAAAAACAAAACAAAACCAAAAAGCATAAGAAAGTCAAGTGTTCATGAGGGCTTTGCTCTCCTTTTGTGGTGGGTGCTGTCATGGCTAGGGAAAAAGCGTAAAGAGGCCTGACAGTGATAACCCTGTCCCTGACCCTTCACCTGCCCAGCTTCTCTCCAGTGGGTAAACTATTGTTTCTTGGCTACCTCTTCAAGATTTATGTGCATATAAAGCATGTATAAATATTTTTTAAAAATCGAAATAGTAAAAAAAAAAAAAAAAGAAATAGTTAGTAAACTATATCTTCTTTTGCTTTGTTTTTTGGTGGTGTGGGGACTGAAGCCAGGAGGGCCTCACGCGCACTGAGCTACACACTCACCCCATCTTTTATATCATGCTTTTTTTCATTTGAAACCATGGAGATTGCTCCATACCAGCATTTTCACTCACTTTTCTCAAATCTTACAAAATGTTCCATTTTATGAGAGTCTGTGTTTGAACCAGTCTTCAACTGAAGAACTTTAAATTTTTCTGGTCTTCATTTATGAATAATACAATAAACAACTTCTGGGGTCTCCACTGCACTTCAGGCTTCTCACTCACAGCTTCACACACTGCCCTCTCAGGGGCACACTGCCTGGCCACCCAGGCCTTCTGAAATCGAGGTGGAAGCCTTCTTAACCTCAGAACTCTTGCATTCTGTATGCTTCTAAAACCACCACCATGTGGATGATGCCAAGGTCTGCAGTAGCCAGGCTTTCTTCTCTCCTGGCTGTAGGGATTGAGTGCCTGAATTGCTGAGCACTCTGAACCTGATTCTGAGGAACACATTCTCTAAGGCCGCCACAATTATGGAACATGATGTTCTGTGGTTTTCTTCTCAAAGCAAAGTCTTCTACCTTTGCAGTTTTGAGGCTGCAAAGTGTGGAGACTTGCTGCTTCTTTTGATGCCCTCAGGCCATCCACCCCCCTAGTACTGGGAATCGAACTCACAACCTTGCATTTGCCAGGCAGGCGCTGTGCCACTGAGCTAAATCCCCAGCCCCCTGTCTTTTTTTTTTTTTTTTCCCATCTTTTCAATTTTCTTGTTCCTCCTCAGCCATCAAGATCTCCTCTGCTCTGTCTTTATAGTGTACAGCTTTACTGGAGCTTCCTTTCTGGCTGAACTCCACATTTTAAATCATCCTGCTGGGCTCTTTGCTCTTGATTCTCAACATAAATCTGGCTAAAAGCCCCCAACAATAGCCATGCCACAACTTCAACATTCAACTGCCTTGAAATTTCTTCTGCCAGATTAATTAGTACACCGCCCTTAATCTCAGTCTCAGGCAAAGCCTCTGGACAGGAGCAAAATGCAGATGAACTTTCTGCCAAGCCATGATACACACTGTCTGGAATCCAGCAACCAATACAGTCCTTCTTTCTACCAGAAACCTCCCGGGCCCAGTCTATCGGCAGGATTTCTCTCAGTCTTCTGGTCTTCTGAACTCTGACCAGAATCTCCCATACAGAACAGCCGAAGGCATTCTAGTGCTTTTCTTTCAGGTGAAATCTCTAAACCTTTCTAAACTCTTCCCACAAGCCATTTCCAAAGGCTCTTGAACCATATGGTTAGGTACAGTCACAGCAAGGACCCCACTTTTCTGGTACCAAATTCTGTCTTGGTTACTTTTCTCTCCTTGCTGAGATAAAATACCTGACACCCAAAATTAAGGAAGGAAAAGTTTATTTAGCTCACAGCTTGTGGAGGTTTCAGTCCATAATTAGCTGGCTCCAAGGCAGGGCAGCATGGCAGAGGGGCAACAGAAGACAGCAGAAGCAGCAAGAGCAGGAGAGGAGGAGACAAGCCATTTTCCTTCCCTTATATTGTAAGCAGGTTGCCCCCATGCAGAGGGTACAGCATTCACATCATCTCCACACCCTCCTCCTGCACAGGCTCAGGATGATACAAAGTAAGGACCGGGCTCCCTGCTGAGTTACTTAGTTAAGCTTCTAAACTTCTCAAATTGACACAATGAACAACATCCTAGAGCAGGAAAGGCCTGTCCTTTTCTCCCCAGGATGCAGAACTGCTGAGTTACTTAGTTAAGTTTCTAAACTCCTCAAATTGACACAATGTATCAACCACAACACCACCTTTTTGATTTTTTTTTTTTACTTAACAATGAAAAGTACCTCATTGCATTTCATCAGTGTGGGCATCATTTCACAGGTGGAGAGATTTGTTTTTCATTTTCTCATGGCCTTTGCCCCACTCATATTAATACATTATGGAAATTAGCCCTTTGTCTGTGCTGTCTGGCAAATTTTTTTCCTAGCTGTTCCTTTATAAATTAATTCAAGTACAGTCAAACTTTCTTCATACAACTCTTAGTGGTGGGTCATTCGGCTTGTGACCGCAGCAAAGTTTTCTTCAGACCCTGAGCAGTACTGTTTGAGGGTATAGGAAGCCAGTCACTCCAGTGAGCTGCAGTCCCTTAGGCTCTGGAAAATGGGCATTGTTCACTCCCAGACTTTGGCAGGACATTCTTTTGTGGCATATGTCAGGGGAGGCTCAGTGCTGAAGTGTTCCATGTGCAGCTGCTCTGTGAGAACGCCTGAGCTGTCATGCTCAAGTACTGTATCTTCAGGTAGTATGGATGCGTCCCTGTCCTCAAGAAATTGTAGAGTCTCTTGTGGGAAATGAGACCTGTTCTTACAATCCTGAGAGCCCTACAAAAGAAATCCCCCCACTAAGCCTTTTAACAGACTGCGTTTTATGTGCTGGAAGTCAAACCCAGACCTTCAGACCTGTCAGCAGAATGCTATACCACTGAGCCACACTCCAAGTCAAGAATTTAGTTTTTGTTTTTTGGGGGACAAAGTCATAGTGTAGTCCAGGTTGGTCTTGAACTTTCTATGAAGCTCAGACTGGCTTTGAACTTACTGTCTTCCTACCTCAGCCCCTTAAGTACCACGGTTACAGGTTTATATCACCACACCAGCCAAGATTTACTTTTCAAATGACATAAGAAAGAGAAAGCCTATCTGTTCGTGTTTTCCTAGGGAGCTGAGAGCATAACCACGTACACGTTCAACACGCACAAAGCGCAGCACACCTTCTGTAAGAGATGTGGTGTTCAGAGCTTCTACACCCCCCGCTCCAACCCTGGAGGCTTTGGTGAGTAAAGGGCATGGACTGTAAGCCCAGGGGTTGCTGAGAGGCTCAGGTGCTTGGGGTGCAGGTGCGGAGTAGACAGGTAGATGCTGGCGTACTTGGCCTGGCTCTGCCTGTCTAGGTGCTTTTCCAGGCATGCGTTAGAGCAGCAGGGCGCTTCAGCGGAGCTCCTTTCCAGTGGTGGGAAGTGAAGACCGATCCGCTGTCTCAATCCCACGTGGTGACATCTTTCTGAGTCCAGCCAGGTGGTGTTCATTGGTGCTTCAGTGCTGTCACTGGGGCTGACACTAAAGACTAGAGAGAAGGGAGACTTTTAAAATAAAGGGGTTGGGGATGCTCAGCAGTTGAGTGCTTGTCTGGCACACATACGGCCATTCTTGGCATGAGCAGGTGGTACCACCAGGATCTGTGGAAGACCTGCTTATTAGTACCCTCCCTGGCATTGTCAAAGGGTCAGAACAACAGGCTCTGAGTTCTGGACCAGTAGTTGGCGTGTACCTATTTATTCAACAATGGTTGATCTCCAGTACCACCAAAAATAAAAATAAATTTTGTTAGAATGCAACCTAGAAGCCAGGCGTGGTGGTACACACCTGTGATCCCAGCACTCGGAGGCTGAAGGAGGATCACTGTGAGTTCGAGACCAGCCTGGGCTACAAAGTGAGCTCAAGGCCAGCTGAACTGCATAGTGGGATCCTGTCTCAGAAAGAAAAGAAAGAGAGAGAGAGAGTGCGAGGCAGGGAGGGAGGGAGGGAGAAAGAAAGGGGGAAAGAGAGAGAGAGAAAAGAAGGAGAAGAAAAGAAAGAAAAAAGGAAAGAAGGGGGAAAGGGGAAGGGAAGGAAAGGGAAAGGGGAAAGGAAGAAAGAGTGCAACCTAGAGGACCTCCAAGACCTTTTTCAGCTCCTGGTTGGATGTAGGAGTAAAACCAGCCCTGAGCCAGTTGCTGCACAGTTATATCTGAATCGAGGAGAAATGAGAGGTTGAAGATGTGTGGAACTGTCGGGGCCGCTGTGACAGTGACATCCGCTTTATGGTGGGACGGGGAAGGGCGTGATCTCAGACCAGCCCTTTCCCACACTGTTTTTTCAGGAGTCCCTCGAGGTTCCTCATCTGCCATGTGGATACTCCTTTCTGCCCTCCTTGTGGTCCAGGAAAGCATTCTGAAGAATATAAAATCCTGTACAAATGGGAGCTATTTAATTCTCAGAAATTTTACCTAAATCCAGGAAAGGCCTGAGAAGTCTTCAGAAATTGCTCTGGCCCTGAGCCTTTTTACTTTTCCTACTCAGCTAGTTTTGAAGGGTGCCCAGCCTTGGCCATCCCTGGTTCAAGGAGTCCCCTCTCCATCTGCCGAGTGAGGATGACTGTCCAGAAGGCTGAAGTCATCAGCCGTAACCAGGGCCCCCTGAACTTAGCAGGCCATGTGTCGGACCTTGTAAGCTGAGGTCTTGAGCTGGAGCATCGCTCTCGGGAGTCCGGTGCATAGGTTGATGGTGTTTGCAGGAAGGGGTTTGTCCAAGAGCCAGTATAGTCTCTCTCCTCACATATGCTCGGGACACATCTTTCTCTGCCGCTTTCTCCTAGGAATCGCCCCACATTGCCTGGATGACGGCACCGTGCGGAGTGTGGTCATTGAGGAATTCAATGGCAGTGATTGGGAGAAGGCCATGAAGGAGCACAAGACCATCAAGAACATGTCTAAAGAGTGAGCTCCTGCTTCTCCCTTCCTGAAAAGGAGGAGTGAGTGGGGCCAGCATGACGTCTCGGTGGTGCCCCTGGCGTGGCTGACCAGGCTGCTGGTGCTGCTGGCCAGCAGCTGCCGTGGTCCCTTGGTTTGCTGCAGCTACCAGTTTCTGTAGGCAGCTCTTTGTCCTTACTCAGCCTGGATTTTGATGTAGGCTAGTTCACCCTGTCCCTTCTTTCCCCCAACTTTTGTGTGATCTTTTAGAAAATAAATATTTTTAACATTAATGCAGTTACTATGGTTCCTCATTTCCTTTGCACCTTGATTTTGCCTCTGAGGCCGATCGTGGGACAGCAGACACTTGATGATCAATGTCAGGATGCCGACAGCCGCGTTGACAGGAAGAGGTAAGACGAGTGAACGCGATCACAACAGGGGTTTTGTGACTGAGCGCAGTGTGTCTGCATCGTGGAGAGGCGGGTAAGACATGGGCGAGGGCCAGTCCAGGAAGATTCAGGCAGGGTGTGATGTGAGGCTGTTGTTTTTGAAGCTAAATAAATTTGTAATTTTTGTTTCTTTTTAACTGAGCTTAGCAGGCCATGGTAAAATACACATAACATAAAATGTACAGTTTGGTCATGTTAAATACATTGATGTTGTACAACTGTCACCACCATTCATCTCCAGAATTCTTTGGTTTTTTTTCAACGCCTGAACTCAGGGCCTTACCACATATGCTAGGCAAATACTCTGTCACTGAACTACATCCCCAGCCCTTTGCTTTTATTTTGAGACATGTTCTCGCTAAGTTTCACAGGCTAGTCTCTGACTTGAGATCCTTCTGCCTTAGCCTCCCAAGTAGCTGAGATTATAGGCATGTAGCTTTAATCACCATTACCACCAAAAAAAAAAAAAAAGAAAAACCAAAACAAAAAATAAAAAACAACAGCTTTAAGTCTTCTGTTTGTTTTTTGTGTTTTTTTGTTTTGTTTTGTTTTGTTCTGAGACAGGGTCTTGCTATGCAGTTCAGGCTGGCCTTGAGGTCACTTTGTAGCACAGGCTAGTCTCAAACTCGCAACGATCCTCCTGCCTCAGCTTCCCAAATGCTGGGATTACAGGCGTGTGCCACCATGCCCGTCTGTTTTTTGTTTTTTGGTTTTTTTGAGACAAAGTCTCACTATGTAGCCCAGGCTGGCCTTGAACTCACTGCAGTCCTCCTACCTCAGCCTCCCAAGTGCTAGGGTTATAGGTGTGGCCACAATGCCTGGCCTAGTTTCTGAACAACTTTGAACAGGGTACAAAAAGCTTAGCTTGTGCAAGGTCGTGAGTTCAATTCCCGGGTACCGGAAAAAAAACCAAAAACAAACAAACAAAGCTTAGCTTGGTACACAGTGTCAGGGCTGGCTCTCAGCTCCCTCTCTTGCTGCCCATCGTTCATATTTTGTTTCTTGTTTTTTTTTTTTGGTTTTTCTCCGGTACCGGGAACTGAACTCATGACCTTGCGCTTGCCAGGCAGGCGCTTTGCCGCTGAGCTAAATCCCCAGCCCCTCATCGTTCATATTTTGATTGGACCAACTTCCCTGAAACATTCTTTTTGTTAACAAGTACTGAACACAGAGTTGCTTACTCCTTTGTGTTCGTGGACGCCAAGGAAGCATCATTAGGCTCTCTTCTGCCTGCCGTCACGTAAATCAGTCTTCTCAGGGCCTTGAACGGCTGCGGAAGCTCTTCATCAGAGGGCTGAGCTGTGAAACAACTGATGAGAGTCTGAGAAGCCACTCTGAGCAGCCGTGGTCAGGCACCGACTGCGGTAATAAGATCCAAACCCTGAGCGCTCCAGAAATACCATGCTGTGAAGCGAAAGCCCTGTCGAAGCAGGAGCTGCTAGCGCTTCATCTAGCCAGAGGTCAAAGTGGTTCTGGAACTTTCAATGGTGGTTGTGGAGGGGGTTTTGGTGGGAAAGTTGGGTGGTCGAGGTGGCTTTGGTGGCAGCCATGGTGGAAATGGATCTGGTGCCAGTGGGGATGGCCACAGTGGCTTTGGTAACGATGGAAACAGTGTTGGAGATGGTGAAAGCTACGTGATTACCACAACCAATCTTCAAACTTTGCATCCATGAAGGGAGGAAACTTCGGAGGCAGAAGCTCTGGCCCCTGCGGTGGTTGTCAAACCATGCAATGAAGATGGCGATGATCATTCCAGCAGCAGCAGTAGCTATGGCAGCAGCAGAAGGCTTTAAATATTGCCAAGATACAAAGCTTAGCAGGAGAGGAGAGCTAGAGAAATGACAGGGAAGCTACAGGCTACAGCAGATTCGTGAACTCAGCCAAGCACAGAGGTGGCAGGGCCTCGCTGCTGCAAAGAGGACGTGTGTTAGATGATACTCATGTATGGGCAAAAAACCCTTGGGGACTGTGTCTGTGACTACTTGTGTAGCAGGTTATCGTGGTTTGTGTTCTGTGGACAGTGTAAAGCATAATAAAGGGTTTTAATGTAGACTTTTCTTTGCACCCATGCAGGTGATTGCTAAGTCTAATAGTCTAATAATGTTGCTGAATAAATGTCTTTTTTTAAAAAAATTAAGTACTGAATATGTACCTGAAATCAATAAATATTTGCTCTTTGCTTTTGGGAGTACCAATCATGAAGTGATCTGCAAAGTAGTGCAGACAAGAGACACAGAGATCAACTAAGGTGGCCAGCTCCGTTTCTGTGTGGTCACCGCCTGGCCAGCTACCAGCAGCCCCTGGCTGACAGCCACGTTCACACTGGCATTGGGAGGTGCTGGCCAAGTGCAGGAACTGGATTTTCAGGGATAGAACTCCATGTGCTCCTTAAAAAATTTTAAATTTTAAAATTGTACGGATAAAACATGAATTATATTCTCAGACAGTAAGTAATCTCTTTTGACCTACCTTTCCTATTGCAGTGTGGCTTAAAAATGTGGTTTTATGTGTCTTTAAAGCCATAATGGCAGGGCTGGGAGGTATATCTCAATTTCAGAGCATGTTCTTAGCATGCATAAGGCCCTGGGTTCAATCCTATCAAAAACTAAAAAAAAAAAAAAAAAAAAAAAA